GGACTCTCTTATACTTAAGTAGAACAAATGACACCCAGTAGCATGCTTAGTGAAAACAATGAAATATTTCACTAGTTAAAACAAATGGAGAAAGTAAATCATATGGAATCATTATTTTTGAGACTCTCCTGTAGCTATAGCCTAAATGTTCACATTTATTCATGATTAATATACTCGACTTTTATGGTAAATAACAATGTAGGTGTGATAGAAATGAATTTACTAGGTTCCCCTTCCGCTTTGTGTGTATATCTAGTTGTACGTGTTTGTGTGCATATGAAAGTGTGTGCACATATATGTTGAGGCCAGATGTTGAGTATCTTCCTCTATCGGTCTCTACTATCTAGTTACTTAGTTATTTTGAGACAGTGTCCTACTGAACCAGAGGTATACCAATTGTCTAGTCTGCAAGCGGGGGAGGGGGAACCACTCGTCTCTGCCCCTGCTAACACTAGGGTTAGAGGCATCTGTAATTATTCCCAGTTTTTACATGAGTGTTCAGCATTTGAATTCAGGTCCTCATGTTTGAATAGACCCTTCAGTGGCTGGACCATCTCCCTAACACCAACTCACTTTTAACCTCCTCATTGGGGTCCATCAGTATCTCTCTTGCCACTAGACTATAAATACCATAAGGTTATAAATCATCATCTGCTAGTCATTCAATACATAGTTTGTAAGCCATCTCATGAAGCCAAAGACTCACAGCATATGTAGTCAGCTGGGAGAAGGAAGAGCTTGTTCAGTGTTGGTGCTCGGGTAGCTCTTGAGATCCTAGAAGGGATGAGAAGAAGGATGGGGCACTGTGTGCTGCCCAGATGGTTGAAGATGGGATGTAAAGGGAATCTAGAGAGAGCAGAGAAAGCTGCATAGAGGAAAAGGTCAGCAGGCATCTTGTGCAAAAGAAATGCCAACCTCTGTTGAAAAGAAGCCATCAAGTCACCGAGGAATAATGATGAGAATAGCATTGCAATGGGAATGCACGTGTCATAGCAAAGTGGGCATATTCAGTGAAGTTGCAACAGGAGGTTTTATCTTTCTGTCTGGTTGGTTGATTGCTTGCTTTATTGAGTTAGAGTTTGATGTAGTACAGGCTGGCCTCAAACTTTCTCTAAAGCTAGAGATGACTCTGGATTCCCAATCCTCCTTCAGCCTCCCAAGTGATGGGACCACAGTACTGTGCCTCCTCCATTCCTGGCTGGTTTGACCGAGACAGGGTCTCACTATACATCCAGTTCAACGTCCCCTGGAACTCACTACGTAGCTCAGATTGGCCTTGAATTCACAGCAATCCTCTCCTGCTTCTGTCTTCTAAACGCTGGGATTCCAGGCATGTGCTACTGCACCAGCTAGGGGACTGCTTAAAGAGGTAAGGATAGATGGCATCATTACTCATGAAACATTCCTCCTCTGCCACGATAGTAAGAGTGGCATCAATCTGGGTGGAAAATCAGACAGACTTGCTTGCCGAAAGCACCTTTTGAATAAGATTCTTAGTGGCTTCTGTGTAAGCTTGTGATCCTGGTAATCTTTTGTGATGGTTTCTATCAAGCAATTCCTTAGTATACATCCTTTTCTTTGTAACTTCTCAGACTTATTTTTTGGTTACCACAACTCTATTTTGATTCTGACAATCTTCACATTTCTATTATAGGAATGTCGGGGGGCAGCCTAGACAAAAATACCTTCTTCCAGAGTGGAGGAGTGGGAATTTAGAAATATAGTAAAGAATACAAAGATGCAAATGAAAATAATAAAACGTAAAAACATGTAGAATAGTATTGAGAGGGAATTTTTCAATGAGTACTGAAAATCTGCGTGTGTTTAATTTCCAACTGGTTAATATACCCCAACATACATACAAACTGAAAGTCACGGGCTATATTCATTCAAGCCCTAGACTCACCTCAGACCAAATACTCTGTTGGCAAACCAATCAAGCCTAATCACAACAAGCCAAATTAAAAACTATCCAGGCTTAATGCTGTCTTGACACTCCTCCGGGGAAGGGTCAAGGCTTAGCGGGCACAGGGATAGGGCCTCCAAAGATGGAGTCCAGAGACAGGGACTTGGAACTTACACTACTGATTTGATGTCTGTTCAGCATCCTTGGTATCATAGACTGTTTTACTGTTTCTTCATAGTAGTGGGAATGGGGGTAGTGGGTGAGTGAGGGTGCATGGAAATTTCCCTCAGGCCACTTTCATGAGGCCCTAATTTCATTGTTTTTTTTTATTAATTCATTTATTTTTTAATGATCTTTTCTCATTTTATATACCTATCCCAGTTCCTATTCCCTCCCCTCCTCCCTCTCCCCCTACCTCCCCATTGTAGGACCCTCACCCCCTTATTCTCAAAGGGGCAAGAAGAAATTTTCTAGCAAAATATTTTCCCAGGGAGATATGGCCTTCCCCTCTCCCACCCGGGAGATTCCGAGCACAAGGTCACTTAGCTCAGCTCAGACAGCCACCTGGTACAGGCTGATAAAGATGGCCTAACTCAAGAACAGTGGTCTTGCTCTAAGAACAAGGAAAAAGCTGACTTAGCAAAATAGGAGGGAGCAAAGGTCCTTGCACCCATGCCAAAGCAGCTTCAAAGAGTCTCTTTGTTGTTATGCCTTTAAAAGCTTACCCCACAGAGGAGATACAACTCCTCTCTACCTCACTACAACGGGGATGGAGATGAGTTCCAAAAATGTTTGTATTATGCTGATTAAACCTTGCTTATTACAGTCTGGGCCTCTCTGGTGGTCGTAATCTGGGCGCAACGCCCAGCCCCCCCCCCCCCATCCACTCCTCAGAAAGAGTAAGGCTCCCACGGGGAGTCAATAAAGTCTGACACATCAATCTGAGGTGGGACCGAGGCCCTCCCCTCTCTTTTTAGACTGAGCAAGGTATCCTTCCAAAAAGAATGAGTTCCAAAAACCAGTTCATGCACTAGGAATAAATCCTGGTTGCGCTGCAAGTGGCCACAAAGACTGCCCCAACCACACATCTGCCACCCACATTCAGAGGGCCTAGTTTGGTCCTATGCTGGTTCCCTCACTGTCAGTCCAGTGTCAGTGAGCTCCCACTAGCTCAGCTCGGTTGTTTCTATGGATTTCCCCATTACGATCTTGAACCCTTTGCTCATATTATCGCTCCTTACTCTCTTGAACTGGACTCCAGAAGCTCAGCCCAGTGCTTAGCTGTGGATCTCTGCATCTACTTCCATCAGTTGCTGGATGAAGGTTCTATGATGAAAATTAAGGTACTCATCAATCTGATTACAGGGGAAGACCAGGTCAGGCACCTTCTCCACCAGTGCTTAGGGCCTTAGCTGGGGTCATCCTTGAGGATTCCTGGGAATTTCCCTGGGGCCAGGTTTTACACACAAGCCCCATAATGGCTCCCACAATCAAGCTGTCTCTTTCCTTGCTCTCTCTCTCTGTCCTTCCCTCATCTCAACCATCCTGTTCTCTCATGTTCTCCTCCTCCTTCCCTCCCCTTCTCTTCTCTCTCTCTCCCCTTCCACTCTCCCTTCTCCCCCTCCACAAACTCTGCTCTCCTGACCTCCCCAATACACCACCTCTGTATGTCACCACTCTGGACACTGAATTTCACCTTTTTGTGGTGGGTGTGGGGACGTTCCTTCCTAGTCTGGAAGCACTTGTTATTCCCAAGGTCAGATTCTTCAATAACAGAACCTCCAAATCCTAAACATACAACTGTATTGTTTGTTCGAGACAGGGTTTCTCTGTTACAGCTCTGGCTGTCCTGGAACTCACTTAGTAGACCAGGCTATTTTTTTTTTTAAGCCTGTGGTAGACGCAGGTATTTTCTGGTTGGCTGATTGCAACCTCGGGTATAAGTCTTGCAAATGAAGAGGAGATCAAGCTAGTTCATCCATGATCAAGACACATCTATTGTTGGGAGCAGTGAACCCCAAGATCCTGAATTTCTTGTAAACAACTTGTTTTCCTCTGCTCTGAGACAGCCTGCAGCTGCTCTGAGAGCACTAGACCCTCGGGAGTTCCTGACAGCAGGGGAATGATTTCTGGTAGGTTTGGCTGGGGCGTGGCTATCCCTATATAAACTGCCCCTGAACACAATAAAGGGGGCATTCCTGTTTCAAGGATGACCCGTGTCTGTCTGTGTGTCTTTGTGTGTTTCAATCTCCAACCCCTTGCCCAGCTCACGAACTGAATGGTATCGTATAGAGCGCAGACGGGCATGGTGCGCTACAATCTATAACTGATAAGCTTTGCTAATGGTCAAAAGTATCTCTCATAACAAGATTGTTAACCTATCTTCAAAGTGCCCTGAATCAGGCCAGGCATGAGACAGCTGCAATGCCCTCGTTGTCTTCGACATTAGTTGAGGAGTCTGCACCAGTTATATATGATTTTAGAGTTCTGGGAGGAATCAAAACAGTCTTTGGGAGCATTGGCTTAAGAGGGATTTTTGCCGAAAAGGTGGATTACAACAAGCTGTCCTGAACCAGGTCGGCGGACTCCATGCAAAGAGGGGCAGGTTGTAGGTGCCAAGTTTCCAACAGTTCTGTGAGCCGAACCACCCACTCTACGAGTTGTTTCTGCACATACGTCGAAAAAAGGAGACGCAACTTAAGTCTGAAGATCGTGATGTTAACTTTTGAACTTCCTACGTAGAATCTGACCTTTCTACACTTCTCTAAGGGGCTTCCTCTGCAGCCGTCCAGCCTGCCACTCGCCGCACGCGCTCCAATCCCCACCCGAAAACTGTACAAAGCCTGTCTTCCGGACGTCGGGAAAGACCACTGGCGGCCAGTGGCTGAGAAGAGGGGCGCCGCGGTCCCAGCATCCAGTCCCGCCCACGCCCGGGCTGGCAGGCCACGCCCTCGCCCGCCTCCGAGCGCCCCGCCCCTTCTTAGCTCGGCCTCATTCGATTCGAAGAGCCACGCCCCTTCTGGTTCGGCCGCTTTTCCCGGCCCCGCCCCCTCTGGACCACGCCCAGGCCCCGCCCCAGCCGGCCCGCGCCGTATTTGGTCATTGGGGGGGACCGGCGGCGGCTGCGGCTGCCGGGGAGCGGTACGCGGCGGAAGGGGGCGCGGAGCGGTCGCGTGCGCGGAGGGCAGCTCTGGGCGCGGTGCGGTTGCGGTTGCTGCGGGCGCTCAGGGGCCCTGGGAACAATGGCGCTGTGCGCGCGGGCCGCGCTGCTGCTGCTGCTGCTGCTGGGCGCGCTGCAGGTGCTGGCGCTGCCGGGGGCCGCGGCGGACGGTGAGGACCCTCAGGGTGAGTCCGCCGGCCGGGAGGAAGCGCGCTGGGGCGGCCTGCTTCTCCACGTCCGGCGTCCGCGTGGAAAGTTCCCGGCTCCGCGGGCGTAGGGGAACTGCGGCTGGGGCGGGTTTCCCCAGTTCCCCGGGGCCACCTGCCGATCGAGACTCTGGCTCTTCCGTGCTTAGGGGCGGCAGGCCCGCGCGGTGCGGGTAACCTGTTGAGTTTCCCTGGGATGGCCCCTCTGCCGAGGTTTCCCTGGAGTTCTGTGACTGGTAGAAAGACCTGTGGATTGAAATATGCCCACTGACTGCTGCAGAAACAAATCCGGCTTTCAAATACCCACACGGCTTCCAGCTGGAGGTCCCCCAGACGCTACAAGTTGGCTTCCAGGGCCAGTGCGGCTGAGTGGGAGCCTCGTGTGTGCACCCCTTGTTCCCCCGCGCAGGTGAGGCTTATGCCGGACCGAGGCCTCTCTAGAGCTGCAAGCCACCTGCGCAGCAACCTCCAGGTCTCTGTTGTCTGGAGCCCACGTCATTAAAGCCATAACAAAATGATGTTGTCAGCCTTCAGTGTAGGGAATTTTGTTTCCCTTCGGGACCTTGACCTTTTAGACACTTTGAGAAGAACTCTGAGTCTGTGAGAATTCTGTTTGCCCTTATCACCTAGAGCCCAGTCGCTATGGTCTAGTCGCTAAGTTCGTAAGTGACCGACCACGGGCTTTGTGTTTTTCAGTTCTGTCCATCTGGTGTGTGTTTCTTAGTCTCATCTATGAAAAGATAACCAGTCAGTTTACTTAAGCAGGTGGTTTGAGCCCAACGCCTGCTTTTGCTGGAATAATCCGGGTGAATTAAGCAACCTTGTTTGTTTGTTGTGCTGAATTTCATTCTGTTTTGTTAAGGCAGGTCTAGTAACACCGTAGCCCTAGCTGGCTTTGAACTCTATTGTGGCTGAAGATAACCTTGAACTGCTGACCTTCTAACTCAGCTTCCCAAATCCGGGCCTTACAGGGTTTCATCACTCTTTTGATCTGTACCTATGAGAAACCGGAGATGCAGACCTAATTCTGAGATGGGTTAAGGAAAGAACGAACAGTAAAATTGGTCGGTGCTCTGTCTTACATCAAATATTATGCTAATGTTTATGGAAGGAGGCCTTCATTTTCTCTAACTGCCTGCTTTGTATGTTTCCTCTCATGTGGTACTGATTAGAGGAAAGTGAGTGCCCTTTTTCTAGCTTTTGCTCTCAGAACACATTTTTGTTGTTCGACTTTCTCACTACGCTCTGTTTATGAATGCCTCACTAGAGAGGTTAGTGCTATTTGGAAAACTTGAAATGCTCTAATGCCCTGGTGTCATGAACTAGTAGAAGCAGTGAGTTCAGTTCTAAGACTGTCACTGTAAATGCTGCTAAAAGTGTCGTCAACAGGACCAGGCCCTCTGGTAGTTCCTGCACTTCAAAGGAATGAGCAAGGCAGGAAGGTTGAGTTTAAGGCCAGCCTGAGCTACAAAGAGAGACCTTATCTCTAAAATTTATAAACAACTCAAAAACAAAACCAAGTTCCTGTTCTAGTCTTTGCATGCCATGTGTGATTAGATAAGCAGCATTACAATACAATTTTTTGCAGCCTTTCTGAAACATGGCTGATATTTGCTAGGTACATTCTCTGTCATATTCCCCACTGCCACCACTATGCTAAATTAAGACCTGTAAATCCCCTAAGGATCCTTATATACCATCTCCATTTTATAGCTGAGAAGTCTGAGACTTCCAGGTAAGCTATCTTATTTACAGTAAAGCCAGTAATTAATGTATGTTTGCCTTCAGATCAGAACCCAGGCTCAGCCATTTCGTCACCAAGCCACATCAGCTGATGGTAGTTTTCATTCCACAGTGCTGTCCAGAATATTGTGGAAGACAGAAAACAATGTCATGGGACTTCTAGTTTTCAAGTATTATTCTGCCTTGCACGGTGGCACACATCTTTAATCCCAGCACTCCAGAAACAAAAACAGGTTGATTTCTGTGGAGTTCCAGGCTGTCTTGTTCTGCATAGTGAGTGCCAAGATGTCCAGTGCTATATAGAGCATCCGTGTAACACCAGGAAGATAAAGGAGAGGAGAGACACAGATTTACGCAGGCTTTGGAAGTAATCAGCCTGATCTACATCCAGACCCACTAAGGACCTGAGCAGCTTTTTCTGGGCCTCAGTCCCTGTCACACTGCAGAGCAGTGCTCCAGCCATCATAGAATTCCCAGGAGGCTGAGGTGAAGGGAACCTACCACCGCCCCGCCCCCCCCACCCCCCCCCAGCACTTACTGTTGTTGGCCACTGCCAGATACTTGCATTGTCTCTGAATTGATCGGGACCTGTCTGAGTTCCTCCTCTCTGGGTGATGGTTCCATCCAGAGGAATGCATAAGAAATGCATTTAACAGTTGGTTAATATTTCAAAGTTGTTGTTGCTGGTTTTTCTTTGTGTTTCTTTGTTGGGAGTGGGTTGTGTGAGAACCATAAATAACGCCTTTGTGTCTCTTTACTTTGTGAGTGCCCCCAGTAGGGCTGGTCTCTGTGCAACAGGAACAACAATGGTATCACCTGAGCTCTCTTCCCTCGTGGGTTGTAGGCTTTACGTGGATTCCAAAGTAAACCACTAAAATGCTGCTTCCCCCGCTCCCCAAATTAAAAGTCCTTCTGAGATCTTCCCTGAAAAATAAGAGATGTTATCTCTGCACCGAGTGGAAGGAGGGGTGCTAGTGGTGAGAAGAATGGAGGCACCCATAAACAAAGAGTCTTTCTAGGGTCCACACCACCAGGGCTTAGCTGACATCACCAGAGGGTGGCACATGGTGAGCACTGTGTGAAGATTTGTTATGGAGAAAGACCCAACAGTGCAGCCTCAAACCCAGCGTTTTCCATAGCAACAGTGTTACAAGCAGAACCTCCCCTCTGCCATGCCTCTGCCATCCTGAGGCCTTGCCCCTCCCCAGCTGTGAGTGCCCCGCCCCTTCATCTGCATACTGCACCCACGCTTACAGACCCAGTATCTGGCTAGATGTGGACTATATGTCTGATGAACACACATGTACTAAATGGCCTCTCATTTTCTTCAAGCTCACAGTTATTTCAAAATGCAAGACCCTCTCCCCTCCCGCTGCAGCCTAGGAAGCAGAGAGAGCCGGACTGTATGTACAATGGACTGCTCATCAACCTGGCGGCATCTGTAAGGGACACATTCCGCACTCCTCCTCAGGGCCCATGATGAAGCATCTCTGACCTCTCACACAAAGACAGTCAGGCAGTTGGCTTCAGTGTGCACCCTCCTTGGAGTCCTAAACCCTTCACTGAAAGGCAGAGGGCTTATGCTGTGTCCCAAGTTGGATGTTGAATATACTTTACTCTCTTTATTTATAGGCTCTCCAAGTGGAAATCACTCTGTGCCTCTGCTGCCCTCCCATGTTAACGTCACAGGTAAGCTTTAAAGATTCAGGCATTCCGTCCATCTAGGCTGTAGCCTGCTAGCCAGGGAGTGTGTTCAAGCTGCTGCAGGACCTGCCTTAACCACAAGCTCCTCTCAAGCGAATCCCTGGAGCCTGTGCAAAGGATTGCCTGTTATAGGCTTTAGCAGGTCATGGTTCACTTGATTGTTGCTGTTAGTCTAGCAAAGGTGTGGGTACTGAAAACATATGGGAAAACTGGGTGCCTGTAATCCTGGCCCTTGAGAGGTGTATGCAGGAAGACTAGGAGTTCGAGGTTATCCTCAGCCACATAGGGACTTCAGGGCAGCCTGGAATATGCGAGAACCCTCTTCTAGCTTGCTTCCAGTTGCTGTGATAAAAGTCCATGGCCAAAAATGACACGGTTTGTTTCATTTCCAGCTCTCAGGTCATACCCCATCACTCAGGGCAGGGGCTCGGGCTGAAGACCTGGAGCAGAGCCCATGGGGGATGCTCTTCAGTGGCTTGTTTCTTGTGGCTTGCTCAGCTTGCTTTCTGATACAGCCCAGGACCACCTGCCCAGGGAGGGCACTGCCAAGAGTGGGCTGTGCCCTCTACATCAGCCATTAATCAAGAAAGTTCCTCACAGGCCAGTCTGATTGAGACAACTTCTCAGCTGAGTTGTGTTGTTGCGTTGTTGTTGTTTATTACTTTATTTAACCATGTCATGCAACGTAGCTTGGGTTTCTCTCAAGTTCACTGTTCTGCCTCCACCTTGTGGGACTGGGATTAGAGACGTACAGCACCCACACCGGACCATGGAGGGTGTCCTGTGGGTCAGCCTCACGCTTTTGTGCTTTGATCTCATTAGTGCTGCCTCTCCTGCTGATGTCTGGGCAATCATAGCTAAGCTTCTGTTCTGATCGTAGTGGTGACTGTGCTGAATTCCAGCATGTGTAGCAAAATCACAGAAAACTTTCCATGGGGGAGAAAAGGACTAGAAAGATGCTCCAAGTCTATTAGTGTTTATCAACTGGGTGATAAATTATCAACAACTGTAGTAGTCATTACCATGGGGAGCTCAGTGTTTTACAGATATGTTGTTATTAGGCTGGTAGGTGGCTGTCTTTTCCTGTTGGCTTATTTTAGGGGGAAGGAAACCGTGTGTGTGTGTGTGTGTGTGTGTGTGTGTTTTCTGCGTGTGCGTGCACAGGTGTTTTTTACCGTTCGCCGGTGTATAGTGTGAAGGCCAATGGTGTGTGTGTGTGTGTGTGTGTGTGTGTGTGTGTTTTCTGCGTGTGCGTGCACAGGTGTTTTCACCATTCGCCAGTGTATAGTGTGAAGGCCAGTGGTTGACCTCTACCTCTTCCTTTGTCACCCTCCATCTGTGTTATTTTTGCTTAATATTTTGTTATGTTTATAGATGATGACTTAGCAGTTAAGAGCTTTTGTTGCTCGTCTCAATGGAGACCCGGAGTTCATTTCCCAACACCCATATCAGGTGACTCACTCACCTGTACACCAAGTCCAGGGAATACAATGCCTTTGGCCTCAGCAGGCACCTGCACTTGTGTGCGCCTGTGCGTATGCACACATACACACGTACACACACACAATTATAACTAAAATGATTTTTTTAAAAAGCAAAACAGAGGAGCTATTAGGGGAGGAAGGAATTATAGCAAGATTCTGTGTGGGAAGGAGTTTTCTAACTGGCGTGCAAAGCCAGTTCAGACTCAGCCTGCTCAACTCTTCACCCTGCTGATCACATTCATGTTGTGTGCTTGCATTTAAGATTGCAATAATGTGTGAGTCCAAAGATTTTCCTCACAGATTGTGGAGTGCAGTAATTGTACATTGTATGCCCACTTGCTGAGCCAGATGGATATTTGGGTTACCCACTCGGCTTGGTGCTGTTTCAGGCACAAGGCATTTAGTAAATGAAACAGATCTGAGTTTGCTGTCGTGAATGTTCCATCAAGGGAGGCGAGGGAATGTAAAGAAGTAAAGAACTATAGATGGTTTTGGATGTTGATAAAAGAGGGTAAAATACATTAACAGACCCTGGCAGTGGTGGCACATGCCTTTAATCCCAGCACTCAGGAGGCAGAGGCAGGCGGAGCTCTGAGTTTGAGGCCAGCCTGGTCTACAGAGCTAGTTCCAGGACAGGCCCCAAAGCTACAGAGAAATTTTGTCTCGAAAAAACAGAAAGCAAAACAAAAATCATAAATAGGCAATATGGTGGAGACTGGCCACAAGGTCTGCTTCAGGTTCTTCAGTGTAAGTAGACCTGTACAGTGGACTGATTTAAGGTGAGATAAGAAGACAGGAGAGAGCCAGTCCTATCCACACCAGGGAAGAGAACCTTCTGGGCAGAAGCAACTAACTAACACAGGCTTTGTGTTGCAGGTATTCTGAGGCAGGAGTGAGCCTCTTCCTCCAAGGAGTATTGGTGGGACGTGGGGGGGGGGGGAGGCATAGGAGGACTTGGGGGGGGGGGGCTTGGAGGGGTGTCTGCGCTTCCGTTGTGCCATTGTGCACAGAAACTGGGGAGAAAACGCTTCCATGTTAGCTGTCAGAAACTAGGAGGCCAGCAGCGGGTCCTGGCAACTCTGTTAACTTCTCAGGTTCTTTTTCTCACAAAGCGAGAGCTCGCTCTTCTGTGGCATCTGTCAGGGAGTCTAGCCCACTGCACTCTCAGGCACCTCAGCAAGAATGATACGACTGCCCGGCTTCCCTCTCCGTGGCTCTGTCTGTAATGCACTGCAGCTGTAATTAGGGCCTGAATTGCACCTGGCATGTTTGAAGCCACCAGAAGTGCTATACACATCGACACTTTAAGCTTTTTTAAGTGGGTTACTTTTTTGTTGTAGCTGGTTTATCTGTGCCTCCCCCCACCCTTTTCCTTTTGTAATTCATGGCTCATGTGGAAATTTTATAAGTTATAGTAAATAGCTAACATCATTACTTGAGGTATTTTAGTTTGTGTGTGTGTGTCCACAGGTTGCAGAGGGCACCGTATAGGAGAGAGTTCTCTCTATCCATCATGAGGGTCCTGGGGATGGAACTCGGGGTGTCAGGCTTGGCAAGCAAGCACCTTTACCAGCTGAGCCATCTTGTCAGCCCAATAACAATGGTTCATACTTGAAAGTTGCTAAAATAATAGATTGTGAGGTCTCATTATAAAAAAAAGTGTGTAAGTTGGGGCATAACTCAGTCAGTCCATGGTAGGTCAAAGCTGTAGCACACCATGAGTAGATACGCGATTTTAAAGGTGCTCTGTTTGGGGTTCAGTTCTTTTCCAGCCGCAATTCGTGGGCATACTGTTTGAGGAATGGGAGCTCCGAGCCGCATGGCCCTGCACTCCTTCCACATTTGCTTACTCGTGGCCCACACAAAATAAACACCTCAAGGAGTGGTGTTGGCTGTTTACTGCATCCTACAACATTTATCTTTCTTTCATTTTTTTTTCTTTCTTTTTTGCAGGGGTGGGGTGTTTCTTTTTACAAAAGAAGCAAAATTACTTTATTCAGAGCAAAAAAAAAAAATAGTACAGGCCAGAGTGGGCTACACAGTCAAGACTGGTGGACAAGAAAGAGTACTTTAGAACCCCGATTGTTGTGAGGCTTCCTTTTCTGGAGCAGAAGCAGAGCTGCTCACTAAGGGGTAGTGTGGGCAGTTCTTTTTGTTGTGCCATTTTTCTCTTGTTGAAAAGTTTTTTCTTGGATATATTCAGATCACACAACCCCTCCTCAACTCTTATTAGTTTATGACCTTTGCTTTGAACAGAGTTTCCTTGCTACCCCCAAGAAAGGGGAGAGAAGGGAGAAGAAGAATGAAAGAAAAAACCCAAACAAAACAGCTGATATGCTGTGTCGGGCGCCTGAGACCAGCCTGAGGACGCTAGGAAATGTTGGCTGTCCCAGAGAGTTGCTACAGTCTCCCTGGAGTTTGAAATTGATTATAATGCAGCCAGAAGCCATGGGAAAGCTCATGTGGGCAATCACATATTTGATTGACATTTCAAGGAGCAGGGTTCATGGTTAGGAACCTGTTGAGTGAGTGCAAATCCTGTGGGCCAGGGCAGGTGGGGAGCCTGCACAGGTGTTCTGCTGATTGTCGGGTACAGAGGGTGGGAGCAGGGATGCAGGCTGGTGCTCTGAGCTCAGATGTCTTATTGTTTGGGTCAGTGGTGAGATGCTTCACTTCCGCATTTGCAGATCATTTCAAAGGGTGAGCTTAAAGTTGAACACTGGGAGTTCACAACAGACTAGAGAGGAAAGAGACTCCTCTTACTGTACTCCACTATCTGGGAGAAGCAGAGGTGACTGGGCAGTGGCAGTTTCCACTTCCCCAGTGAGCACTCACTAAAAAGGGTTCATGTGGATCTGTGGCCCTTTGACTCCTGGACAGTTAGATTACCCAATCTGTCAGTCAGACCACCCATCACTCTCTAGCTTTAACATAAACTTCACAACTTGCTGCAGTCTTTACTTACTTACTTATGTGTCTATGTGACTGCACACATGACTGCAGTTATCCATGGAGGCCAGAAAGGGAGTCACATTCTCTGGATTTAGGAACTGAACTTAGGTCGTCTCAAAGAGCAGTAAGCTCTTGTTTCAGTCACCACTTTATTGCTGTTCAGAGACACTGAGGCAGCTCGTGTAAAAGAAAGCATTTACTGGGGGCTTGCTTACAGTGTCAGAGGCTTAGTCCATTATGAGCATGGCAAAGAGCATAGCAGTAGGCAGGTGTGGTGTTGGAGAACTAGCTGAGAGCAGAGAGAGAGAGACACAAGCATGCAGAGCCAGGTGTGAGCTAGCTTCCAAAACCTCCAAGGCCACCCCCAATGACACACTTCTTCCATCAAGGCCATGCCTCCTAATCCTTCTTAAATAGTGCCACTCCCTGATAACTAAGCATTCAAATATATGAGCCTTTGAAGGTCATTCTCTTTTTCTTTTTAAGTGCAGTGTCTTTTTTAATTTTTAAAATTTTTTAATTAAAATTTTTAATTAATTTTCTTGAGCT